CAATCGTGGAGGAAGTTCTGTGAGGAGTTATCTGAAACACCCACATGCTCTAGAATCCACAAAGTCTTAGCTAAAGAGGGTGCTGCAAACCAAGTAGGATTTCTCAGGAAAGATGACGAAACCTATACGAAAACCTTCAAGGAAACGTTAACAATGCTCACAGAAGTACACTTTCCGGCCGCAGAAATTTTGCTAGACCCGATAGTAGCATATAGCCCTCAAAGAAGGTCTCGTAGGCCAACTCCTTTGGAATGGAGGCTAGCTACAGAAATATCGAGGCCGAACAAAATTAGATGGGCTACAAACAAATTTCAATCATACAAATCCCCAGGAGTAGATGGAATATATCCCATTCTACTACAAAAGGGACAGGAAATTCTAATTCCACATATGTGTCGCATATTTAAAGCATGTATAGCCTGGCGACACATACCAAAGGCGTGGCAAAAGGTGAAAGTCATATACCTCCCTAAAGTAGGAAGGTTTAATGACATGACGCCAAAGTCGTACCGCCCAATCAGTCTATCTTCATTCATGCTGAAAACGCTAGAAAGACTAATAGATAGATATATACGAGACGAACTACTGAGAGAAAATCCTCTCAGCGACCGTCAATATGCATATCAGCCAGGAAAGTCAACCGATTTGGCCCTGAATGATCTTAACAGGCTATTGTCAAAATCCCTCGAGGATAAAGAAATGGCAGTAGCAACTTTCGTAGATATTGAGGGAGCTTTTAGTAATGCTCAAACAAGATCTATAATTAACGCATTAGCAATAAAAGGGGTACCAGTAGTCCTATGTCAGTGGATAAAAGCCAGCCTAGAAGAAAGGGTAATAACATCATCTCTAGGCGAAGCTACATTGACAGCTAAAGCAGGCAGGGGCTGCCCCCAGGGAGGAGTACTATCACCCCTTCTCTGGTCAGTCCTAGTGGATGAACTTATAAAAAGGCTAATATCTGCAGATTTTTACTGCCTAGGGTATGCCGATGACCTGGCGATCGTCGTAAGAGGCAAGTTCGCAGGTACAATATCGGAGCGCACACAAACCGCTCTAAACATTGTCGACGAGTGGTGCAGAGAGGAGGAACTAACAGTAAACCCTCACAAAACCACAATAGTCAACTTTACAAAACGAAAAGTACCAACAGGACTAAAGTCACCAGTACTGAAAGGAGTGAAGATTCCATTCGCTCAAGAGGCCAAATACTTGGGAGTCATCTTTGACCACAGGTTAACATGGAATCAACACTTGCAAAAAGTCACCCAAAAGAGCACAACGTCCTTCAACTTATGTCGAAGGTTGTGTGGAAAAAATTGGGGATTACAACCAAAAATGTCCCTGTGGTTATATACCAGAGTCATAAGGCCGATGATAACCTACGGGTCGGTGGTATGGTGGCCAAAGACTAGGCAAGCTGGAGCCATTCGACAGCTCAATGGTATTCAAAGGCAAGCATGCCTGAGTACCACGGGAGCTATGAGAACGACTCCAACAGCAGCTATAGAAGTCATGCTAAACCTAACACCACTACATATATTCATTCAAGGCGAAGCCAGGTCTGTCACATACAGACTGCACAAAGGTTCATCGCCCATAAGCAGTTTGCATGGACGCGACTACAGCGAGCTATATAAAGAGTTGGAGAACGACCAAATAATGGGAATGCCTTCAGACGAAATGCTTCCAAAGTATAGCTTTCAAAAGCAATATAAAGTAAGTATACCAGACAGGGAAGCGTGGACGGGAGGACCTCCTATTCATGCAGATCTCACCTGGTATACAGACGGCTCCAAAACCCATGAAGGTTCAGGAGTAGGTATATATAGTACCAAGCCAAAGACAGGAATCTCACTGAGCTTAGGTAAACATGCGACAGTATTCCAGGCAGAAATAGCAGCAATACATCACTGCGCAAAAGAAGTATTAAGACAGAAGGTAAATGGGAAAACCATTGTCATATACTCAGACAGTCAAGCGACGTTAAAAGCACTCAGTTCCATGCAGGTACACTCAAAGCTTGTGTGGGACTGTTTGGAAGCCCTAACAGAGCTGGGTAGTCAAAACAGACTAACCTTAGCGTGGGTACCAGGCCACAGGGGACACAAAGGCAATGAAGAGGCTGATTTACTAGCCCGAGAAGGAGCATCAAATGCTCTTATTGGCCCAGAACCCTTCTGTGGTGTAACAAAAACAACTATCAGAACATGCACAAAGCAGTGGATGTTTAAAAAATCTCAGGAGTGGTGGGAAAACTCACCAGGACAGAGACAGGCCAAAAAGTTCTTAAAAGGACCATCGTCTAAACTCACCGAGCATCTACTAAGCCTTAATAGGAAAAATACTAGAATACTAGTAGGTCTATTAACAGGGCATTGTAGGCTTAACAAACATATGTTCAATATCGGTCTGACAGAAGAGGCCTTGTGCCGATTCTGTCAAGAAGAAGAGGAAACGGCAGAACACGTATTGTGCTACTGCGAAGGTCTAGTAAGACTGAGATTCCTTACACTTGGAGAAGAAAAACCAAGGGCAACTAGCTATACCGGAGAACTACTTTCCAGTCTATGGAGTTTACTACAAAAGACCGCATTAGACAAGGTACTCTAAACAATGATTAAAGGATATCCACAATAGATCTGAAAAGGTCGAGGTGGGGGAGGCCACATGGCCCATAGTCCTAATTAAATCTAATCTAATCTAACTTATTATCTGTCCGGTCATGCTAATTGCTCAAGTCCCTCTCAGCCTTTTTTCTTTCATACCATTCGTTCGCTCTCACAGCTGTTTTAAACTGTTTCAGGTAATTGGTCCATGACATGTTTCCGGCGAAAGTTGGGGCTTTCAATTCCTTCTAGTTTCGGATTTTACTCCACCTTGCGGCACTTTATTTCACTGTCCTTGGTTTTTTTGCATGTTCCACATCTTGCCTTTCTGTTTTGTTTTCTCCATTTCTTCTCTTTTCTTTTCTCTCTCTTATTTTGTCCTCAACGGAAGACATCTTATTTTCCACATAAGCAGAATATTTTTAGGGAAAACATTTTATTTTTTTATAGAAGAGATATTAATTACATTTCCATAAAAGACATTTAAAAAACATTTTTCCTTTTAAGGAAGAAATATAATTTTGTATAGAATAAATATTAGCAGCAGTGGCGGTTTCTCCATTGGTTCATTTATGCAGTGAACACCCAGTTAAATTTTATAAAAACACATTATTTTAAAATAACATAAAAATATAAATTCAATTTTAATATTTTTATTATTTTCGTACGTATCAATCTATATTTTTTTGGTACGTCACTGCGCTCTGGCTTGTTACTGGTGACGTCTGTCGGTGTAATCTGTGGATTGAACGCGAAAGGTTTCCACGAATGCTTGTAGTTAGAAAGATCTGTGAGAGAAACAGGGTGCCTGCTTTAAACCACGCTATTTTTCGCACCATTTTGTGCATAGCACGTAGATTAGGACAGAACTTTGCGTGGTCTGGTAACTCCTGACTGTGGCCTTTGATCCAAAGTTGCCACATTTAGTAGATTTCTACTTTTTTTAATAGATTTTCAGCTTTTTATGGCTAGCTATAATAGATAATTTTTTTGGTAACTTTTAATAGATTTCTGTAAATTAAAAAATTCCAAGTATTAAAAAAAAAAATCCCATTTAAATAATTGTGTTTGCTAAAAATGATTAACTTGCCAAAAACGTTAAGTTATGACTCCGTTGGTGGGAATTGTTTGCGCAAATTCCCTTGCTCATTGCATTTATTGGGATTTCGTTATAGTGCGAGTGTGCCTTTTTCAATGATTCCCTTAAGAGGAAACCGGACCTCTCGCGAAATCAAAAATGTTTTAAGGATTTTATAATATAAAATTGTATTTATATGCGTGCCACTGGGAATACTTCGTGCTATTATGTGTCTTGACAATATTAAGAGCTTTAAAATTGTGTAACGATAAGGCAGCACCCTGCAGAGATGTTTAAGAAAAAAGGTGTGGGAAAGCATATCATTTAAAAACTACTAGATATTTATTAAAACAAAAAGTAGCAAATTTTCATAGATATAATACAGAATAGCACAGAAATGTTTTTTTTTATTTCTTTTAAAATTTTTCCAAATAAATACTTTTCGAAGGTTTACAAAAACTTTAAGGTTTTGTTATTGGTTGTATTTTCTGAAAATTTCACAAAAATCGGACTAAAAATAAAGGCTCAGAATGAATTATAAATTTTTAAGGTATTCGGTTTGCTCTTAAAACTGTTATGGAACTGCCCTTGGTTCGCGGCGTATATAGTAGAGTGTCTCAAAAAAACCGACTATTTTTTTTCCAAAGAACATTGAAAATTCGTCAGAGTATCTCTAGAAAATGACCCTGTGAAAATATGAGCTCTTAATATTAATATTTAGAGGTGGCGTTTTGTAATTTTCTATTTCCCATTTAAATAACATGGGATTTTTTTTAACTTTGGAATTTTTTAACGTGATAACGAGCTACTTTATAAGTATGACGAAATTACCCCTTATAGGAAATTTAATGCTCTACAAAAAAGGTCTGATTGACTTTTTGCGTATGCGTAAAAAAATTTATTGTAGATTTTACTGCTAAGTTAACTAGAAATGTAGAGATCTTGTATTTAACTGTTATTACTGTTAATCTATTAATAAGCCAATAAATCTGTTATTATTAATTAAAATGGATTATTGATACATAATATAAATAAATTTATCTTCTATCTTGGCGCAATCAAAGAGTAAGAAGTAAGCAGAAAAAAATACCTAGAAAATAAGCAGAAAACCATGAGTGAAAACAACGTTATTTCCAGCTCAAAAGTTGAATATATTTTTTTTCTATTAAATTATAATTTATAGATAAATATCTACTGACCTTAATGAATGTAATAGTTCATCGATAGTACAGTGTTTTGGTTGAGACGGTTTTATAGTTCTGTGTATAGACATGTGAAAGGTCTAAACTATTTTAATTCAGGTAGGTACATACCTCTTATGTGCTACCCATTTTCCTTCACTTTTGCATAGTTTTTCTCTTAAGTAGTGGAACCAGAACACAAAAGCTGCAGCAAATGTCGCATGGAAGAAATACGAGTTCCATGGAACCCAGTAGTGTCTATCGGCGATGTTAGGGTCGGTGTCGTGCCAGGTCCAATGCATGTATCGGACCGAAACAATGTCATAGGGGATGTCTATCAATACCGTAAGTAGGCCAACAGCAAATGGTTCCGACCACTTTGGCAGTTTCAGTTTGGCAGCAGCTATGGAAGCTTGGTAAATGAAACAGCTATCTAAAAAATTATCATTATCACAAATTTTTTTATTTTATGATTTACGTAAATTTACCTATTATAGGTATACAGTATGTCTAGGTACTTTAGTTGTAATCATGTAGAAAACTTTTTTAATTTCATTAAAAAAAAGTTATTCTTCATAATTTGCTCTGCAATCAAGAGATATCAATTTTTTTCAGATGAGGTTTGTCAAAAAAACATTAATTTTCTGAAGACCTACCATAATTTTGGACAATGTCAAAAATTGTTAAAAGAAAGTTGATTAGGATTGAAAACTAGGTTTTAATATAGGTACTCGTATACAATTACATCCAACTACAATGAAAAATAAGATTTCATTCTTTTTTTACGCAATTTTCTCTATAACAGCCTTGAAAATGTTTCCCTGAACATTGATATTTAATCTAAGATGCACATTCATATAATAACATATACAGTTGTCATTAAACAAATGGTTTGTTTAATGGTGACATCAGTATATCAACTGCTATGGTTATTAGCTTCGTGTTCTGTGTAGGCATTGTTGCTGTTTCCCACTAAACAAATGTTATTTCATAAAAAATGGGTAGACATGGGAAGAAATAAAAATTAATGAAAATTAATGAAAATTAATAAAAATTAATAAAAATTAATAAAAATTAATAAAAATTAATAAAAATTAATAAAAATTAATAAAAATTAATAAAAATTAATAAAAATTAATAAAAATTAATAAAAATTAATAAAAATTAATAAAAATTAATAAAAATTAATAAAAATTAATAAAAATTAATAAAAATTAATAAAAATTAATAAAAATTAATAAAAATTAATAAAAATTAATAAAAATTAATAAAAATTAATAAAAATTAATAAAAATTAATAAAAATTAATAAAAATTAATAAAAATTAATAAAAATTAATAAAAATTAATAAAAATTAATAAAAATTAATAAAAATTAATAAAAATTAATAAAAATTAATAAAAATTAATAAAAATTAATAAAAATTAATAAAAATTAATAAAAATTAATAAAAATTAATAAAAATTAATAAAAATTAATAAAAATTAATAAAAATTAATAAAAATTAATAAAAATTAATAAAAATTAATAAAAATTAATAAAAATTAATAAAAATTAATAAAAATTAATAAAAATTAATAAAAATTAATAAAAATTAATAAAAATTAATAAAAATTAATAAAAATTAATAAAAATTAATAAAAATTAATAAAAATTAATAAAAATTAATAAAAATTAATAAAAATTAATAAAAATTAATAAAAATTAATAAAAATTAATAAAAATTAATAAAAATTAATAAAAATTAATAAAAATTAATAAAAATTAATAAAAATTAATAAAAATTAATAAAAATTAATAAAAATTAATAAAAATTAATAAAAATTAATAAAAATTAATAAAAATTAATAAAAATTAATAAAAATTAATAAAAATTAATAAAAATTAATAAAAATTAATAAAAATTAATAAAAATTAATAAAAATTAATAAAAATTAATAAAAATTAATAAAAATTAATAAAAATTAATAAAAATTAATAAAAATTAATAAAAATTAATAAAAATTAATAAAAATTAATAAAAATTAATAAAAATTAATAAAAATTAATAAAAATTAATAAAAATTAATAAAAATTAATAAAAATTAATAAAAATTAATAAAAATTAATAAAAATTAATAAAAATTAATAAAAATTAATAAAAATTAATAAAAATTAATAAAAATTAATAAAAATTAATAAAAATTAATAAAAATTAATAAAAATTAATAAAAATTAATAAAAATTAATAAAAATTAATAAAAATTAATAAAAATTAATAAAAATTAATAAAAATTAATAAAAATTAATAAAAATTAATAAAAATTAATAAAAATTAATAAAAATTAATAAAAATTAATAAAAATTAATAAAAATTAATAAAAATTAATAAAAATTAATAAAAATTAATAAAAATTAATAAAAATTAATAAAAATTAATAAAAATTAATAAAAATTAATAAAAATTAATAAAAATTAATAAAAATTAATAAAAATTAATAAAAATTAATAAAAATTAATAAAAATTAATAAAAATTAATAAAAATTAATAAAAATTAATAAAAATTAATAAAAATTAATAAAAATTAATAAAAATTAATAAAAATTAATAAAAATTAATAAAAATTAATAAAAATTAATAAAAATTAATAAAAATTAATAAAAATTAATAAAAATTAATAAAAATTAATAAAAATTAATAAAAATTAATAAAAATTAATAAAAATTAATAAAAATTAATAAAAATTAATAAAAATTAATAAAAATTAATAAAAATTAATAAAAATTAATAAAAATTAATAAAAATTAATAAAAATTAATAAAAATTAATAAAAATTAATAAAAATTAATAAAAATTAATAAAAATTAATAAAAATTAATAAAAATTAATAAAAATTAATAAAAATTAATAAAAATTAATAAAAATTAATAAAAATTAATAAAAATTAATAAAAATTAATAAAAATTAATAAAAATTAATAAAAATTAATAAAAAATATTAAAAATCAATAAAAATTATTAAAAATTAATAAAAATTAATAAAAAATATTAAAAATTAATAAAAATTATTAAAAATTAATAAAAATTAATAAAAAATAATAAAAATTATTAAAGATTAATAAAAATTAAAAAAATGTTAATAAAATAAAAAATTATATAAATTAATAATCATCCATTTTTTGATATTATAAACACGATTTTACTCGTGCAAAGCTGGGGGCAACAGCTAGTACAAAATATTTTTTAAGTAAATACTGAATAAATGAACAATCTGTCAATAAATTAACTATATTTTTTAATTATAGTGGGATTTGCTGTAAGAAATTTGGATTATGTGTCAAGAAAGATTCATTTTATGGCCAATTGACTAAGAAAAACTCTCTAATTTTTAGCTTGTAAAAATTCAATACTTACATAAAAGAATGATGTGTAGAGGAAGTCGACGTCCAGTGAACATAATTGGAGTTTGGGAATGCCAAAAATTATCCACATCTGGATGAATATATGTAATGCTTTCTATAATAACTCCGTGAATTAAAATTGCTATCCATAAATAAGGAAGCCTTCCTCCTCGTATTATAGCTTAAAAAAAATAAAAAAATATTTATTAATAGTTAACTCAATTACATACTCTCAGTACGATAGATATAGCTAAAGCCGTCAAAAGATCATATGTACTGTTAATAGAACAGTTGCTGCTTATAGTGACAAATTAGAAGAACATAAATACGTCATTGGACTTCGGAGAGGTGAGGACTTTTTTCCTTTTAGCCAGAGAAAAAAAAAAATGAAAAAGTATAATACATAATTGGACTTCGGGTTCTACTCGAGATAGAAATCAACATTAAAATTAACGATTATTCAATCGTTTGAAAAAATGGTTTCAAGAATTTTTTTTTGTGTAATTTACCTGAAAATACTGTGATGGTGTGCCCAATTGACTGTTTTATAGCACACAGAAGGTGAAATATTCAACATCCCCAACAAGAAAGTATGTTATGCAAGAATGGCTCAGATTAAAGGAAAATCCATTTACTGACTCCATCCTAAAGTCTGAATATAATATAAAATTGCACAAACCTATTATTAAAAAACATGAAATTGTTAAAATAATACGAGGCGAAGTAATGCGACTTCCCCTCCATCCAGATTTATACCCAATGAAATGATTTGGGCAGATTTAAAATCCAATGCGAGTGCCAGAAATTGAGGTTTTACATTTAAATCAATAGAAAACCTTTTCGACCACCCATTTAACGCTGCCAGAAACTAAACCACCAAAAAAAGTTCAAAAGCCTGCAAGACTGCAAAAACGCAAGTTAAACCGGAGCATGTCAAAAAAGTGTTGAAAATATTGAATTTACCAAGGTTCTTGATATGTTACCACCAACAAAAAATTGGCCTTAGCTAGATGCAAAAAACCTGTACCTGATAACCCTGCATATGACTCAGCTTGAACCTTTAAAAAAAGTTTCGACGTTGTTTGGTTTCCTTGCTTTTTACTAACACGAATGCTCAAATGGGTTCTTAAGGAAGAGCAGCCTAGCTGATTTTGCGCCCTTTAACCAACGTTTGCCTTTTTCTTATTTTTTATGTATATAGGTACTATAGTGAATATTCTATTTTAATTTCCTTGTATTTTGTTGGTTAATAAAGACATTTATTATATTATTATTATTATTATTATTATTATTATTATTATTAAATAATTAACTTACCATGTATTAATGTCAAAATTCCCCCTAAAATATAAACAGCTTGGGATAAAATGTATGTAGGTTCGTTTTTCCAAAGAATTTGAACATCAGAAATATGTATAAACCAATCCAAAAACTAAAAAAAAGAAAAAAAAATTTACATGTAGGTAATACTTACAAATTTACACTAGAGTGACAAAAAGTCTCCACTAATAATTTTTAATCAACTTCGAACACAACGTTGTTATAAAAATGAATTAAATAAAACAATAATCTCCAGTAAACATACGTTGAAACATACAATTTTGTTTTGTTTCGAGTTTTATTATTTGTACAATGTACTTCTTATTTTTAAAATAATTTTACAAAAATTTATAACATTTGTCACCCTTCGCATCTAGGCTAGGATGGATTATTCGATTAGAAAACCAACTTACTGGCACCAGATAAAATTCCAGAGCTGCTTAAATTATTCTTCATCTAAATCTAGGTCTAAATTGAATGAAGCTTTTGAGCCAAATCACTAAGTAAAAATATATTAATAAAGACCTGGTCATTCTGCAAACAGGGAATTTTAAGAACATACTCTGCGAAAGAATGCAAGTAGCTCTAAAAATTATCGAACAGTACTGCAAGGACCATTCACTGTCTATTAATCCTAAGAAGACAGAAATGGTCCTTTTCACAAGCTAAAGGATGAAAATGGAATTAAAACCTCCAGAACTCCTAAACACAAAACTAAACTTTGCAACAGAGGTGAAGTACCTAGGTCTCTCCTTTGACAGCAAGTTAACATGGAACTCGCATATAGAAAACAGAGTTAAAAGAGCATACATTGCGTATGAACAAGGTCGCCGAACCGTGGGGCGAACCTGGGGTTTCTCCCCCAGGGTAGCCGCATGGAGTTTACACGCCTATCATAAAACCTATGCTAACATACGGTGCAGTTGTCTGCGGGTACCGAAAACCCAAAAATTAACAGCTATCCGTAAACTAGAATAAATTCAAAGAACAGCATGTCTCAACAGAACAGGAGCCATGAAAACAACACCGACCAGAGCCAGGGAAGTCATTCTTAGTCTCACTCCCCTTGATATTTACATCCAGAAGATTGCTCTGACGATAATGACACGCCTCCGCACGGTTGAAATAGAACCTGATGTAGGATCTGGTGAGGCGAGACGTCGCTTTTGGCAGGAGGCGCTCGATTCGCTCCCACTACTTCAAGTGAACATGGACTCCATCTCACCGAGATATATCTTCCATAAGCCATATAAAGTTATAATGGAACAAATAGAAGAGCCAGAAGTGGCAGGTACGATTCATATCTACACCGACGGTTCTAAAACAAAACAAGGCTCAGGATGTGGAGTATATTCCAGATTATTAAACCTAAACATAAAATGGGCTGTGAGCAATAGGACCAGTGTAGTTCAAACAGAGCTAACGGGGATTCTCATAGCAGCAAAAAAAATAACCAGAAACAATATCACTGGAAGGAACATGCTCATTTATATAGATAGCAGACAAGCACTACTCGCCCTGAACAAACCACGAATTTACTCAGGGTTAGTACTAGAATGTTACGAAGCTTTGGCCGAAGTATCCATCAACAATGTGGTCACCTTAAGATGGATCAAAGGTCACGCCACATCGAAAGGTAACCGTCTTGCTGATTCACCAGCCAAGAAAGCAGCCAACCAAATACTTTTTGGACCTGGCCCTTCTATTGGCCTGACAAAATCGGTAGTGACAGACCTAATTAAAGAACATTCCCTTGTGAAATTCAAGGAAAGATGGGATCAAACAAGAAACTGCAGAGTTGCCAGGGAGCTCTTAAGTTATCCTGACAACACTGCAGCAAACAAATACTTGACTATGACTAGACAGGATCTGCGCCTAGTCACAGACATTCTAACTGGTCCGAACAAGAAGATGAGACCATCGAGTATATCCTTTACGAGTTCTTTATTAGAAGATTTGTGTTCGGTGAGTATCGCCTAACACCGGTCGATATAAGAGAAGCACCTCTTGGCGACGTTGTCAACTACATTAAATCTGTAGGCCGGCTCACGAGCTAGGAAGTGTCTATCATCTTAGGAGGATGCACAATGGGCCTAATGAGACCTAAATGCCGTAGGGTAACCCACCCTCCACACGTTACAGATACAGATATTAATGAAAAAATGTAACGCAAAATTAATAAACAAACCAACAAACTGGAAATATTTTAAAGCAGAACTACGTAATAAAATAGAACTCTATGTTCCAGTGAGCAAAAAATGGAACATGATGCAGTAAAAGTTGTAGTAGATATACAGCAATCTGCCTGGAATCACACAACGAATTAAGGAATTAAGTTGTATAATAAACTGGATCGGGCTCTTAAAGAAATAAATAGTCCTAAATACTTTAAACGTAAAATAACGGACTTATTTTCAAGGAAAGCATATTATACTGTTTCTGAGTTCCTTGATTCGTAGATAAATTATCTCCTTCATAAATATTATAATTATATTTTGTTTTATAAATAAGTTTGTTTTAGATTTTTTTTTAAGTTTACTATCTATTTCAGAATTTTAGTACTTTGTATTTTCTATTCTACCTCATTAAATTGTACACCATGTTTTGACTTTTCCCATACCTGTACAAGGTCTCTTGGAATTAAAGATTTATTTATTTATTTAATAGAGACCAAAAGTAATTATCCATGGAGAAATCTGTGGCACTCATCGAAGAACCTTGATGACAAAACCAAAATAATCTCGCCCCGACAGCTCAAGATCGAGATACAAGAAATTACAAACTAAACAGTACCTACGAAAATTCACAGATGAGGAGAATACCAAATACTCGCTAGGGAAAGCAACAAAAGAACTTAGAAGACCAATCACACAAACTTCACCAATTAAAAATAAACGAAGGAAAAGGAAAAAAAAAATATTCAAAAAGCAACTGGAAGGAATCTTCCAACCTAATGAAATATCATCTTAGAAGAAAACAAAAAGTTGAAGAAGATATGTATTATATACTGGTTATTCCCACAGAGAAGTATTCGAAGGAATAAGAACAAATTTCAATTCAGAAATAGCACCTTCTCTCTCTCTCTCTTTCCCCTCTTTCTCTCTCCCCTCTCTCTATATTCCCTCTCTCTCTCTCTCTCTCTCTCTCTCTCTCTCTCTCTCTCTTTCTCTCAATCTCTACTCTCTCTATATCCTCTCTTGAACCTTCGAAAAGTATTTATTTTGATAATTTTTTAAATTATGATTTTGTTATGATTTCTGCCGGGATAGAGGAATTTAAAACTGGAAGCAATTCCTATTTTATTCAATTCTCAACTTGATCCGTCTTCAAGTAAGTTATAATAATATTATGCAATATCCATGGGCGTCGTTACACAATTCTATAGGAAGAGGCAAAATTTTGAAAAAAATTAGAATGCTTATTTGTTGAAAACAAAGAAAATGAAAAATCTTTTATTTTTCATAAAAATTAACAAAAGTTTCTAATAAATAAAGATACCCAAAAACAAAAACTAAAATAAAAAAAAACAAGTAACTCAAAACACATATTTTTAAAAAACAAACAGAAGGTGTGAAATAAAAGAAAAATATGAACAAGAAGACAGCCTTACATAATATTAACAAAAATAAAATATTTATAGAAACACAAAAACAAAACAAAAACTTACACAAGTACGTCGACGAACACTAGGAAAATGCAAATTGTTAATTTCTTCTTCCTCTACCTAAAATAATCGATAACAGAAAATATGATTTCTTTTTAGTTTTTGCGATTATTTTTCAATGTACGCTCATCATGCAAAGTACAGTCAGCCTATTTTCATTCATTATTCGCTCTGTGCGTGACAGCAGCGCCAACTAATTCATAAACTAACGGACGATATTTGCGTATACTGACAATACATTTTTTATTGGAATTTCTAATTAAAAAATATATATGTTTAATTTAATAAAATTATATGGATTCGTAAAAACAAGTAAAAAAATTAATTATTTTTATATATTTTTATTATTTCAGCTAAAAAAAAATTTATGATATGTTGCTTAAGCCTAATAAGTTGTCATTGAAGAATATGTTAAAAAATGTGAAAATAAAATCATTACCATTATATAATACCGTAGTATCAAAACATATTAACAAAAATATTGATAAATTTGCGATTGCAATTTTATTTTCTTCATTTTTAGTTCGAAAGAACCCATAGAAATTAATGATTAAAATTGGTTTTTTATCAATAAGTCACAAGATTGCAATTCAGCCACATACAATAATAAAAGGCAGAAATCTAATCCTTGCTGAACATTTAAGAGTTAAGGGATGTCGATCAATATTGTAAAATAATAATTTATTGTTTACTTAAAACCTTTTCTGATGACTACTATTTACAGTATTACTGTTATTATTACAAAAATAAAGGTTTTTTTCTTCTTATTGTACATCTATCCATTTATTTTTTTTATTTAATTTCCATTTTGCTACTGAAAATTTATATAATTTACACTGTTTTTGTCTGCTAGTATTTTTAATAGTTACAACACAGAACTGCTATTGCTTTTTGTTTTATTTTTATCTATTAGAGAAAATAATGTGGAAATAGTTTGGTGAAAGGTTTTTATCAACGAATAACTATTTGAACAAACAATACTAAAATTAAAATAGCAACTCAGGTTAGGTGCGCACATTCGTTGGTTAATTTACCGAAATTACTTACATTGACATTGTCATTGCCAGACGAGAATACAGGTAGTCATCTTTATAAAACAAAAGTAACTAATTCAGACAGGGTTGCCAACTATAATAGATACGGGTAGTTTAACATTACCTACTTTTAAAAGAAAAGTAAAATGTATAGGGACCGTGCGTGAAATATAGAGGCAGCACTACTGCCGAACTTAGCCCTCTCTAGTGTTTAATTTTATAATTAAATGGGGTAAACATTGCAAGTAAATAATGAAGGGTATTTTTTTAAATATTAAATATAGTTAAAAATAGATACCGGCCCGTACCAAACAATCGTGTACATGATCAAAATGACGTAAAATGTGAAACATCATTAAAATCTGGACATGCATATACATTTTAAGCAAAAAGATTTAAATGGCTAAGTGACAA